TTTCCAGAAGCAATTGAATTAGTTGTAAGTCTGTAGACCATTTTACTTTCTCCAGCTTGATTTCATCTAATTACAACCGAATATTTATTTGCCAGTGAGTTTCCTTAAGCAAAAAAGCAATGTTTTCGATGCTTAAGTGTAATCTATATGTAATCTTTCCCTCAAAGTCGGAGTACGGAATTTATCAGGTGTTTAGCAAGTGTGTTCCCGTTATTCGTTTCTTTATCGTTAGAGAAATCGTAATCAAACTCAACTTACGGACGATGGTAACAGCCGTTGTGATTTTTGTTTTCAAAAAGCGGAAAAAATTAAAATTCAATTAGACAAAATGTTGTTCCAGTACATACATACACACCAGATTTTGCCTTGAAGTACACCGTCGATCTAGGCACACTGCCGAACACAAAGTTTTCGACAATAAATTGCGTGCCGTGCCCACACACTAGAAGATTATATCCTGAGTTAATTACATTTTAAGCGAACGTAGAATTATCCTATTGATTACGTACAATAATTTTGCTGTTTTGCACTCATTAATTAATAAAGGCTAATTGGTTTTCTTGCACGCGACATTGTCTGGAAAACGGCGCACCAAAGTACACCACAGCATTCAGATTGAATTCGCTCAGTGGAAGGTGCGATATTGGCCAGCCGAGACCATTGCCACGATAAAAACGAAAATGTATGGGAAATTGCAACCAAGTCTCTGTCTCACCACCGATTTAACATATAGGAAGTTTCAACACAATTCAGCCAGCACCGCCTCCTAACGTGTGCGAGTGGTTCCAGATTGCATGTGCTTCATTTCTTCGTAAATCATTTGATTATCGCTACTTGCGATTGGCCATTGTTCACGCGGCTTCCGCAGGTAGACCATTCCAATACCGCGCGCGCTCTTTCTACTTACCATCCATTACACCGCAATCGAACATATTTCACATACGAGAGCCCAACCGATTATTTATTGATCGATATCGTATCGCTTCGACTCGACTCGACTCGATTATATTCAACTGGAAAATGATTTATTTTTGTGGAAAGGGGTTCATTTTCGCTTTCAACCAACACTGCAACCGATGAAATTTGGTGGTGACGGCGGTTCCAATTGAATATCGGAGCCACATTGTTTGCATGCAAGTGATAATTTTGATGCGTAATTAATTTTATTGGCTTTACCAAAGTTGATGGTAACTAATGGACTATTTAGTTGTAGGCCGTTTATCAACGAATGAAATTAAATTACTTCATAAAATCCCGACTCGATTGCAGTGTCAGATGAAAAGATTCGATTCTGAAAAAAATCCCAATTGAAAATATCATGAAATCTTAGATCAGTGGGAAAAGTTAATTAATTCCATTGCAGTAAATTCTGTAAAAATGTGAGAAAATGATTCATTCTCCAGAATTAAGCGATTTTTATGCGCTTTGGAATAACAACAGTCAAATTCGGGCAACTGTTTCGAATATTAGCACCGTTAATGTAAACTTCTAACCACGGTGATGAAGCTACAACAACAATAACATGTATTTCTAATGTAAACATAAGACGAGCTCTACTGACACGAAGCTTGTGGTGATAGTTGAAGATTTCAATCACATAAGCGTATGCATGGCCGATAATCAAGTAGCCTTTCGCGCAAACCGTATAAATTCTATGCTAGCGTGTCTGTATTGTGTATATATATAGTATATTGACCGCTTAACGTATGTTGTGTGTATGACCACTAGAGGCAGGCCGAATTTTGTCCTCAGTTTGGATTTCATAGCCGCGCTTCTAACGCTTAAACGTCATTTTTTGGAAAGCTCTGCTTCGTAAATTGTTACATTTGTCAATTTGATCGAATTGTTTTGTCGTTTGAATGAGTGTTCAGGCAAGAAGAATGGAAAAAAAAAACATTGCAATATCCAGCCAATTTGAATATCTACGCTCATCATCATGTCGAAATTGTTCCATTATTACTGTGCCAAGTGAAAAATGCATACAGTCTAGAGCAATGAGTGATTTGTTTGGGAAAAGCAAAATGTTGGAATTTGTGAAATATTTCAGCGCTTACATTCCTCTAAACGAGTATTCTCTGTTGCGAGTGTGTGCATATAGGCAGAGTAATTTCGACAAACGGGACTATTTGCTGAGTGGCCGTTAAACTGACTGAAACAATATGATCGAAAACGGTTTATGTTTGGAAAATTATTACCTCTTACAAGCGATAGCACAAGCTTATAAATAAACAGAGAGGGAGAGAGAGAGAGACAAGGAGAAACAGGGGAGGAGATAAAGGGAAACACAACGCAGAGTGAAATCATTTGGTGCATTGTTTCATCATGTGTGGTAAATGTGCGTTGATTGCTGTTGATGAGATTGTGGATAAACCTGTAGCTAAACTCAATATTTGTCATTTGGGTTTTTCGGAAATAGACCGGAGTAGGCGAGGGTGTAGGGATTTTTGGTTCATAAAACGATGGATGTTTTCGTTGAATCATTCAAAATGAAATTACTTTATCATTTATTCGAACACACTCGTTGCAGCAGCAGCAGCAGCAGCAGCAGAGCGGCAATGCATCATTCGGTAGCATTTCCAACCCATTCGGTTTGGGCTGTGTAACTAATTTTGTCTCCATTTAAATTGAATCTAATTCAAAATTGGAAATTATTTGCATCATCGTGCGTGCAATTTTGTTGAACATTGAACGATGGCTTGTACTTTTGCACTTCATATTGCCGCTTACATTTTGTGGAAATTGAAATGATTTGTGTGCATGTGTCTCTCAGTGTTGTCGTCGACAGCAATGTGTGCACATTTTGATGCAGTCGCACATGAATTTTGCTTCTGCCTGATATGAGTGATAATTTGTCGCTCGAGTTTATTTGTTTTATGTGTACACATACAATACACACATCGCTGGGCCCCATCGTCATCGAATAAAGTGTAGCCAAATGTAAATTGGCGAGGCGAAGTGTTTTCGATCGCATTCGGCACGTTTAGCAGGCCAATGATCAGGACAATGATTTAAAATCATACCAATAATAACAACAATAATCGTTAATAATTATGGTAATAGCTCTGTAAATAGGAAAATCTAGTACAATTCGGGCAAATTTATTGCTGCATGCACACAAATGCCAACACCATGGCAGAGCAATGCTATGAATTGCAATTTTCAGGTATTATCGTATATTTTGAACGGTACAAAAATATATAGACTTTTTTCGGTATACCTTTTCATGTATTGTTGAGGAAATTTAATAGATTATTTTCGGTAAATTTATTCATAATGAGCAAGAGCATTCGTTGCAAATCGTTGGAATTTTCTTAAAATTTGAAACTAGAAATACTAGACATTCGAAAAATTATTATCTAATGGATAAAAAGTTTACTTTTTTAAATGACCGCTTCATTTGAGAAGAATCTTCATTTTGATGGATTATTTTAGCATTTCGTTTGCCGCAATTCGACCGCTTTGAACCAATTTCCAGCTACTTTCCATCGATACATGCGATGGTTGATAATTGTTTGTGGGGGAAAATCCATCGATTTGACCTGTACCCATTTGGCGTATACTACGTGTGAAGCACGCACTCGAATGTATCGATATTGATTTTCGTGTTTTTGGTCCGAACGAAGGAAATGCATTTCGCATTTTCGGGTTTTTAGTCAATTCAAACAATTAATATAGGGAATTGAAAAGCAATTAAAAACATTTTATAATTCATTTTGCATCGCCGAAAATAACAATCACACGTATGTGGAAGCAACTCGCGCTCTTCGACCATTGACTATTTCGGCGAACTAAATGCAATGCCGCATTACATTTGCATCTAATTTATTATTTATGGATGCAATTGTCCCAAAATAATTGCGAATCGGTTGCATTAGGTAAATTTTAATTTAAAAATACGAATATTCCATTATAATCTCAGCTCTTTTGCCTATCTCCGGAATTGGTTTCGATTTATCATAATATTATCATTCCATTTTGTCGCCTCTCTCTTTTTTCAATCGAGTGATTTTTGAGTCACTTTTGATGCAAAAGACAATGATAATATTGGATTTTAAATACTCTCTTAAGCACTAAAATAAATTTGGATAGTAAACAAAGTGAGAATGCGGAATAAATTTGCAAACGAATTTACCTGCTTATATTAAATATCGAAAATATGCAAAGATTCTCGCAATTCCAATATCTGATTATTATTAGAAGTTTAATCGTTTTGTCGATTAAAATTGCAGAAGCGTACGTGGACATTGTGTGTCCAAGCTCAACACGTCGTTACACACACACACACACATGCGAAACGCTCGAACGTTGATAATCGCTGAATTTCCATTCCGGTCATGTTTCCAACAAAACTAATTTGACGCATAATTGTTCGCCATTGAATTGGCCAATCTCAATTTATCTCTCTCAAACAAACACATTTCACATAACATTGCGGATATTTAACTTTAACGAAAAGTATACGCTTTACAAACTTTTCTGTTTGCATTAATTTAGGTACGATGCACGATAATAGTAATTGATTGATTGATAAATTTAAATTTACTTTCTACCAAAACTGAACACTTTGTCACAATTTTCGCATACTTTTACGATTGAATGCAGGGATGGGGCTTTCATTTCAGACACAAACAAAGTGTCAAATTAAGTGTATCACATGTACAAGGTATCATATTCTACTCTTGGATTTTTTATGGATTAAAAAAATTGACACGCAAATTCATTTTTCATCCAAATATTTATACGATCCTGTAATAACTACCAGATTGATAACTCACAAATGCGATTAGCTCCACTTCGCATTTAGTTTTTTGCTTCTTTCGAAATGCTTTTGTGATTAAACAAACATTTCCTGGAGCAAGCATACAAAACGTTTTGTGAGTAATAATACACAGCGATAACAAAACACATATTCAAAAATTTTGACATTTTCGGTTATCACAATTTGATTAGCACTAAGGCCATGTTTATATTTACGCTAGAAAATAAAAAAATTGTTTTGTTCTCTTCACGTTGAAGCGATGAAACTTTAACACTTTATTTTCTTCTTCTTTCAAATGATTTATTTGGGGAGAAAACTTGATATCTATGTCGAAGTACAAAAACTAACAGCAATTGAATGTTCGGAAATAAAAGGCAAACCTTATCTAAGTATAGGCAAAAGTTGGTCGGGATCAACAGCCTTATCACTAGTTGATTCTAGCGTGTCTAAATTGTTTTCAGAATCAACGGCTTTTCCACTAGTTACTTCTAGGCTGTCTAATTTATTTCCAATAACATTCGCCGGTTTCAGTAGTTCAGCTACTTCCAAATAACCTTTAAAAGACATTTTGTTTTATATCAAAGGTATTTATACCTTTTTTTTAATACCAAAAATATCTAGAAAAATATTTTTGTCATCAATTTGTTCGCTTACTTCTATCGACGGCTAATTCAAAGGCGGTTTTCCCAGCATCGTCTTTGATTGTCACATCAGCTCCATTTTCTAACATCACTTTGACACAAGTTAAAAAATCTAAAAGAGTACAAACTGTTTAAAATCGATCAATTATAATTATTTGTGAGTAGAGAGATTAATTACTTGATTGGGCACAGCCATGAAGGAATGTGCCCCCTCCAATATGGACTGGATAAATGACTTCTCTGTTCACTCCACCTTCAATCGCTTCATCGAAGTAACTTTTGAAAGCTATAAATTAGAATCTGTGACTGAATCGAATGAAATGAATTAGTACAATCAGGAAGAAAGAAAGTACCTTCTCTCATGATTTGTTCCCATTCTGTGTCATTCAAATAGCAATCTCTGAAAAATGAAATATAGTTTTAGTTTTTGTTGTAATACAATGCGAAGAAAAAAAGGAAGAATTATTTAAAAATGAGGAGATTTTTCAGTTCACCTGCCCAAGACATAATCTAGAAAAAGAAAAATTGATTTTAGGTGAAATCGTATACGTTCAAAAGAAATATAACATATTACCAGTGGCATTTTGGAGCTCTTTTATTGTTTCGACAACACCTTTATAATCTAAGCCAAGAACAATGTTATATTCATCAGGGTTTTCTGTTACACCCTGTTCAGCATATTCCGAAGCAGACTTTTTACGATCATCTACGTAATTAATATCACCGCCTTTTGCAGCAACCTTTCTCACACACTCGGGACTACCTATGGATGAAATGTTTTTCAAATAAAACAATGAATTTGAAATATTTTCTATTAGTTAAATTACCAACTGCGGCACAGCCATGGATAACCTTTCCACGGGCACCGTGTGGATATTTTGCATTAGCACAGTCTAGATCCAATACCATGTCAACCATCTTCAATTGACCTTTTACAAATTGAACAAGTGAATCCAATGCAGCCAATTTACTATATTTCTCGCCAAATGCGCCTGAAAACGACAAAGAAAGGAAACAGTCGAACATGGTTTTTGAATTGTTTCCATTTTTTTTTAAATTTGAGATGATTTCACGCTTTCATCTCAGAATACTTCAATTACCTGAGCATGCGCTAAGGCATAGAACTAGTGTAACGAATAGTTTCATCTCTTGTGAACTGACTCAATGAACTCTGAACTAAAACTGAAACAATTTGAGTCAAAAATTCGCTTAATAAATTGAAATGAGTTTGATGGCATGAGTGACATTGAAACATTGATTAGATAATTATTTCGTCGGGAGGAAATGAAAAAATTGCAAAAGCGTTGATAGCCAAACAAAAAAGTCAAAATTTTGTGATATTGAAATTCCATTTAGGTCATATTTCCAACAAAATGAATTTGACGCATGATTGTTCGTCATTGAATTAGCCAATCTCAATTTATCTCTCTCTCACACACAAAAACATTTCACATAACACTGAGGATATTTATAAATATAGCTGTAACTAAAAACATACGCTTTACAAACTTTTCGGTTTGCATTAATTTAGGTACGATGCACGATAATAGTAATTGATTGATTGATAAATTTAAATTTACTTTATACCAAAACTGAACTCTTTGTCACTATTTTCGCATACTTTGACGGTAGAACTAAAGTCCCAATTGATGAAGTCAATGTTTTACACAAACAAAGTGTCAAATTATAATTAAATGAATGATATTTTGCAATGATGCTCTTAAATATTAAATCTGTTTACTGTATGAATAGAAAAAAACAAGTCAGACGCAAATGTTCATTCATTTTCATTCAAAAATTTGTACGATCCCGTAATAACTACCAAATTGATAACTCACAAATAAGATTAGTCCAAATAGCTTCTCTTCGCACTCAATTTTTTGCTTCTTAGAAAACACTTTTGTGATTAAACAAACATTTCCTGAAGCACGCATAGTATGCTTAGCATACACTACCATTTCTATATATAGCGATAACAAAACACATAGTCATCAATTTTTGTCATTTTCGGTTATCACAATTTGATTGGCACTAAGCTATAAGAAAATAAAGAGATTGTTTTTCTCTCTTCACGTTGTAACAATGGAACTTTCAGTTTGTTTTTTTTTTCGAATGATTTATTCTGATGGAAATCTATGTCGAAGTACAAAATATTAATAGCAATTGAATTTGAGGTGACGCTGTTCTTTCTGCCAAATCAATGATCATAGAGGCTGACGAGCTCATTCATATCATTAATTAAATAATTTTGCCAATAATTAAAATCTTGGAATAATGGTTTGTTCTGAATCTGAATTGGTGATAAGTTTTCTTTCGTACATTCCATACAATTATTGTAGAATTTTTATTTCAGTTGACAATTAACTGAACTTTATTAACTGAATTTCTTAATTCTAACAAAGTTATTTGTTGACTGTTGATTTGAGGTTTCGCTGCGTTGACCGCTTTGGTCAGCAAATATATAGCATACAATTGTGTCAATCATGAACCTACTGCAACATTATACATTACATTGAACTTTATTACTGTTGGTTTGTCCAACAGCTGACTTGTGACGATCATCCTTAATGGTTGTATCTGTCCCTGCTTCCAAAAGCAATCTAACTCCATTGGTAGAATCTTGGAATAAAATGGATTTGGATCGAAATCTTGTCTGAAAAACTTTCATATGATAAAATGCTTAATTACTTGATTTCGTCCAAGTGATGAGGAATATTTCTCTGTGGCCATCTGGGAGATCAACAAATTTATCTATTCCAACGTTAACTATCTCGTCAACGCGCTCTGCAAGGTCTGAAAATATGTTTTAAGTTGTATGGTTCATTAGTTCTTTTGAATTCTCTTCAGAGGAAATACCTTCGGTTCTTAGTTTATTCCATTCTATTGTTGACAATTGGTAAAAATTTGATAAGGTAAAGTCATCTTATAACCATGCGGGGCAATAAAGTTTCTTTAAAAAATGCTTTATCGTTTTTTTAAGAATTGTTCAAGACTCTACTGAATATTTGTAGGTTTTTTTGGTTTCTTTTGTCATTGAATCAGAATTTCGGTGTAATATGCCGAAAATATTTCATCTGACTTCAAGAGAAATACACAAAAATTATCGAAATTATCGAAATGATCGAGATGATTCAAGCCGGTGACAGAATTACAATGAAATTTCAATTTTTTCCTGTTTAATTTCGACAGCATCCATGAATTCACGACATGATTTTCAAAATGAGGCTCAATCAATAGTTTTCTCTGACATTCTATATCACGGTTTCTTTTTTTCGTCTTTTCTATTCGTTACATTTCGTACATGTTCAATAAATTCGTAATGAGAAAGTTGATTGGGTTGTATTACACAGATAAATTGAGACTGGCTTTTGCTGATTTGATTCTAGCCTATTAGCTCACTACGTCAAAATGTGCATCATAGATAAGTGCGAATTTAGTGAGTAGACAATATCCCGGAAAAAATAGCTGCATCCTTCCTCGCACTGTTTGCCGTAGATAAAGCGAACTAATTAAAATTGGAAACTATAAAAAGCCCAACATGAATGTTGTTCGTTTGCGCGTTAAAAATGTATCAAAAGTCATTGTAATTCAATCAGTTTGTAAAATGGCCAATAGAAGCCTTAATCGAAAATGGAAAAAAATTCGTTTTGCAAAAGAATTGAAAGCAAAAAATTTCGATTAGTGTGAACTACAATAGAGGCTTGATTGCGAATTTATGGTGGATCGAACGTTTTCATTTCTGTACGCGCTTGTGTTGTGATTGAGAAAATGTTGTAGTCAATATGATTGAATCGTACAAGTGCACACATACGCTTTCTATCTATGCTCGGATTGGGCGAGCGATTAATTTATCATACCAGGGCACAATAAACGCGACACTTAAACACAGATATGGATATAAAATTCGAGTGAATGAATAATAAATGTAGTGAGTTGTGTAATCGCATTCATAAATCCTGGATGCACGTACTCAGGCACGACGAGACATTTGCTCATGTGAAATGCATCAATTTGCTTGTACACCACAGCCGCTGCTGTTGTTGTGTCGCACACCACACGCCAGCATCGAGAGAGAAAAAAAAACGAGTCATCATCTATCTATCAAAACTAAAATTATTAGTCAATTTTTGCCCCCAGACTAACTAATAACACTGTGCAGCAGCTTTAGTTCGGTTCAGCTTCCGTCTGTAAATAAAAACATTGTGATTGCCGCGGATATGACGTGCATCTCTCACTCGACTTCGATGCGCCGTCCATCGATGGAAAAACTATTGCATGAACTCTGTTGCACCATTGCAAACGGATGAAATGCGAAACAAAAGAGTTTTTCAGATGAATAAATTACGGGCGAAGAAGAAGCGAGTGAGCGAACGATCGCGTCGAACGCGCGCCCGAACAGGAGCTCTGGCCATCGTGTGAATGTGTTGAAAATTGATTGGTGTTGACTCGTTTATCCGCTTTCAACCAAATAAATACACACATCCATCGTAGCCGACCGCACGCTTCAGCTTCGGCACAACACGAACACAGCACAGTACACACAAACGATGCAACATACATCTATTTTGTATATAGCTCGTGCCTGAATTAATGTTTTTCCATGTCTGGACTTGGTGCTTTATGCCATTTTCATGCTGGAATATGCACGAAACCAGGCGCAAATGTGTGGATGAGAAACGTGCCTATTTCATTTGATTTGCGCTGCCATCGGATGTTGATTTATAAATACAACAAAAATAACTGTTCATCGTTTGCCATTCATGAGGCCGTGCATCATCTTGGATGATGATGACGATGGTCCAGTGCATGTTGACTAGCGACGTGTCGCGTACTTTTTTATGTGCCGTTGTTACTGTTGCTGCTGCATTCGCTATATTTTGCATCTGTATCGCTGTTGAATGTGAATAATAAACGGAATGAATCGTGCCTGTGCGGTGCTTGGTGATTGACGATTATATCGGAGTTTAGTACGCGAACGACAAATGATAAACGCGACTCATATGATAACCTATAAATCACACACGAAAGTGACCGGACAAACGCAACATACAACACAATCATCATAAATATTAATATTTGGCTTTCATGGGTTTTTTGCTCTAAAAAAAAGGAACTATGGTTAAGCATTTTTGACTGTTTGGTTGCAGCCACCGTTTGTTAAGCCAAAACCAAATGCAAATGTCACAAAAACGGAGAGAGAGAGAGAGAGAGAGAGAGAGAGAGAGAGAGTGGAACGAAGATGAAATCCGGTGAAAAGAAGGTCAAATAAATTGATCCGATTCGAAATTTGGTCACGAATTCAAATCACATGAGCTTTTTCACCGAAGAAAATAAATCGAATTCCAAAACCATGAAAATCGGTTTATAAATTGTGCTGACACAAATTCGTTTGGCCAAAAGTGCATATATGCAGAATAAATCATACAAACAAATTGATCGAGAGAATCGTATGGGCAAAACGGGGAAGACATCCTAACAACCAGTTGACCATTTGTTTATGTAGCTGACTTCTGACATTGACTGCAATTTGACTTCTTCGTCAATAGCATAAATATGGAATGTGCTCAGAATTTGCCATCGAATCGAAAGCAAAGCACCAATTCACAAAGCAAAAATGACGAATTTTTTTGAAAAACCGCAAATCAAAATCATTGGATGCTTTCGACTGGCATAATACATAAACTTGTAGCCACATCTTCATTTCGTTCCCGTTTCCAGCATGTACAAACCCAATTGGTTTTTGTGGTCAGCAAATATTTATATGTACTTGTACAACGTTACATCACAAAATACAAACCTATAAATTCCATTTTAATTCCGATTCATTTCAATCGTTGCAGGAAAAATGCCATCTCCATCTCTTTCTTGCATGGGATTTCAGGCGAAACCGCAAAAGCAATGCTTTTGCTTGTCCCTATTTTGCAATGACACACAAATTTTTCCTCAATTAGACTTGTTTGTTTTGATTCCTGATGCGCTTTCGTATGTTATGTTTATCTCCTGACGACGACGACAGCGATGATGATGACGATGGTAAATGCTCAATGCCCATAAATATTTCCTCAAAATTGTTAAATCCGTCTGCACTGGCAATTGCGATTTTTCTTGACTGTTGATTTATTTCAAGGTACAGAATTTTACGTAAAAATGTTGACCAGACGAGAAAAAAATAAGAGGCGGAA